TTCAGAAGAATCTTGTATTCTTGGGGGCTGGGGGAAGAGAGAGACCCATAAATAATATAAGAGAGATGTGAAGTAGAAGGGAAAAGGGTGAGTATTAACTAAATATAGAACCATGCAGCTTTGGGTTTTACATTATAATAATGGTGTTATGGTTTGTGCTGATACTAAGTTCTGTGTTAGGATTTAGGTTGGTATCTGGAGATAGGAGAGGTTTAGGAGGTTTAGGAGCACTTTAAAACAACTTAGAAAGTAGTCAGAAAAATTTTTTGTATATCTTAGAACATATGAGTACCCAATTAGGATGGTAGATGTGGGTAGATATAAGGATGTGGGTAGAATGACAGGACTGTGTTTCTTTCATGTCACTTCTTGCTCTGGTTTATTCATAGGACATTAGAAAGACTGATGTGCATCTTTCTAGAATTTGTCTTTGTTACCTGTAAAAAATGATAGTACATTAGAAGATTACATTTTTTATTACTCTATTTTTTGTTAACTAATGGATTAAAATTATTACATGCACCCTTTTGTTAAATTGATATCTTTTTCGGAAATAGCAAATTTTGTTTATTCTCATTTGAAATAACATGCTTTAATTTTAGTTTCCTTGCAAAAAGAGGTGTGAGAGAAGACATAGCAACATTTGATGCACGAAATATCCCAAAGGAAATTAGAGAGAGTGTTGAAGAACTTCTTTTTAAAAATAAAGGATCTTTTGATCCAAAGGTAATTTTTAACAATTATGCCATAAGTTCCCCTTTCCATACAATATAGTATTCTGCTTTTAAAAATATGTTGACTTGTCATTATCAATTGTCTAGATCACCTATAAATTAAAATTAAGAAAAAATAAGTTGTGGTTATTATAGTCGGGAAGCATTTACCAGTAGAGTTAAGTAAACTAGAATCTAGGTAGCAGGGGGAGATTTATTATCATAAGTGGTTTTTGAATCTTAGTATCTGCTGTTAATATTAAGTTCCCAGCTTATCATTTTTTTACTTCCAACTTTCCTGTGTGCTTTTATTTTTTCCTGTGTACTTGTCACATAGTAACAGATATCTGTGTTACGGCAGTTGTATCTAATTTCACTGAACGGTTTAAATTTCATGATTCCGGCATTTTTTAGATCNATATTCTATGTGGTTCAAAAATATTTATTTTTAAGCAAAAAGTAGATTTAATGTGTATTTCTCTTAATCAAAATAGCAGGTCAATACATTTTTATTTTAGTTACAAACCAAAAACTTTATTATTTGGGTCAAGTTATTAAATAAATGCCTAAATAAAATGTATTAGAATTAACTCTGCTTTTGTTGGAAATTAAGTCAGGAAGTTGGATAACTTTTAATGGATTTTTCAGAATGCTAAGCGTGCCAGTACTGCAGCTGCACCTTTGGCTGCCTGGGTTAAAGCCAATGTCCAGTATTCCCATGTCTTGGAACGAATTCAGCCTTTGGAAACTGAACAAGCAGGTTTAGAATCGTAAGTGAAGTATAAAATATAAACAATTCTAACCTTTATGTTAATCAATTTGATGAGTTTGTTTTTAGAATTTATTATTATTTTTTTTATCTATTTCTAAAAGGGCAGCTGACAATATTAAAACATAAAATGAGTCAATTAAATACAAATTAAACAGATCAAATAAAGAAAGCAGTTAGAAGGAGGTAGATAACAGAACCAACTCACTTTTTCTCTATCATTATTATGTTGTTGGAAGTACAAGTTAGTCGAAGTTCCTTTAGAAAGAGCCATAGTTTTATAAAGGAATAATATTATAGTACAAAAAGAGGCTTTGGGAATTTAGAGCTTTTATATTTGTTCTCACATTCTACATTTTAGGAAATGTTTAGGATATATTTTCTAAAACAGTGTCTGAGCAAGTAGGGGGAGGAGTTAAGCATTTACTTTTGGAGCTTAAAGTTCTGATGTGATATTGTTACTAAGTCAGCATATAGTTTATCTCTTTTGTTCTAAATGCAGACCAAGAGGTTTGTTATGTTCTTGATTGCTAATTTTTTGACATTACCTATTAACTTCCTACTCTGGACAAGGAGATTTTAGCTCTGTT